TTTACTTTTCACATTTTAACATGATTTTAAATTAAAACAATTTAGTAAAACATAATAGCTAGAGATGCGATATGGTTGCAAATCAAAACAACTATTCTTAAAGACCTAAGGACAAAGATGTCATAGATGAGGTCCGGTATCACCGTTATCATCCTTTGATTTTCGTTGTCCCTAGTCTTGACAGTGTATTTTTTTTCATACACCTTCCATATTTATTTCTTCATGTTTTATTCATAAAAGAGTAGATTTAGAAATGACACTACCCATGAAAAATTTGGCTCGTGAAATTTAAGGTAAAGAAGTGTTTCCGTCCAGACGAAAAAGGTCAAACTGAATTTAGGACCTCTCTTACATAAAATTGTCAATATTTTGACTTAGAGCTGGTAGACTTTTGTATACGTTTGATATAACTTGTCCCAAAAGTAGTAGACTACATTGTAAGAATACTGAGGGAATGTTTCTAATTTGCATTGAATTTGATTGTTCTGAAAAATGCTCTCCAAATGTAAATGTTATCGGACCAAGGATTTTGATGTTTTAATTAATCTTCAATATCATAATAATGAGTTTATTTGCAATATAATTATATAAAAAAACAAAAGTGACTACATTATTTTGTCAAAAGGCACGTGTTCATTTTTTTCTATGTGTATTTTTTTTATTAATAGATACCTTTTAGTGATTTGTGTCGTTTAGATATTGTCTTATTGACTTATATGCACCATATCTCATTGTAACAATGAAAATAGCTAAAAATTGTCAGCCGCGATTTGTGTTCACAAATAACAGCAAGGTTATTTTTAAAAGTAAACGGTCTGATTCGTAAGATGCAAGGGTGATATTTCCACGAATAGTGTTATATTTGATTCAAAGGAGGAGGTATGATAAGAGCAATTATTTGGTCCCAGCAATTTTAAAATTAGTAAACTTCTTCAAAACTTCAAAATTTTGTTAATTTTATGTGTTTACAAACCAATTGCTTAAATATGGAAACTTAAAGACAGACGGAACACTTATGATGTCACAATGACGTCATAAACATGTAGAAATATACATATTTAACCAAAAATGGCCATTTCGCGCATAGTTTTTGAAAAAAATTTCATGAGCACGAGCAAGAGCAGATATCTTACACACATTAACATCTGTGTAGAAAATATCTTTTTGGGTGAAGCTTTTACTCATAACTAATTATTCATGACAACATCTCAAAATAAGGCTATTTTGACATTTTTTTTGCTGTTTTGCACTAAATGTTAGAAGTTTGAAGTCCTAATGATAATATGCTAGACAAAGTTGATAAAATATATATAGATACTGATGTCTTGTGAACATTTGAAGGATGTTATTTGGAAGATGTATAATGCTATTTGATTTTCAAAAAAGGCCTTATCATACAGGGTAAAATTTTGAAGTACTTCCTAATGAGATTTACACATAGAACAATTTTGTTAATGGGTTTGTTTGCTGGATTAACGACATATTGGCAAGAGGCATACTAGGTGTTTACTGTCAGCTTTGTGGTCTGTGTACATGTATCATGTATGTCCAAAATAAAATGATTTTTTTTTAAGTAAAGGGCGGGAATTTAGACAAATGCGGGGGAAACAGTATATATTGGAACCAAGGCATCACCTTTAACGTCAGTTACAATCGGACGTTGCTGCGTTTATACCAATCCGCAGAGCAAAAAAACGGACGCCCCTTTATTTGCATGGGTTTTACTGTCGGATTGGAGAAATCCATGTGACAATATTATTATAGCCCAGTCGACCCTTGAGGTGAACCAAGTGCAGAGTCTTCCTCAGCGCCATTGATAATCTATTGAAGTCGTTAGTAAGAACACGGCCAAAACTAGACAATTTCGACATGATTTAGGAAGATAATATTAAAAACCATTGTTTTAGTTAAAGTATTGGTCGATTGGGAAAATAATGACAAAGAACAAGTGTTTAAATTTAATTTTTTTTCTCGAGAGTAGTATTACATCATCAGCTCAGTAGTCAGTTCTTCGGTACTGATATGATTTATAACAAACTGTCTAAAATTGCCCGTTTATAAATTTTAAAATTATACAGAAACTAAGGTTTCAACTCTCTCAGGAAAGTTGGCCTTAGATGGATTTGGCTATTTTTAGGTCCTCTTTGATTTATATCTCTTAAACGTTTTCAATCCTTATACATCCTTGGCTTTCAAATATTTGGCTTTGAGCGTTCCTGATAAAGATAAATCCAGAAAAGCGCTTTGGACGCATGAAATTTATAACGTGTTGTTTTCATTTTTTTTTTAACAATTTGTATCAAGACTAAGTGTTTAATCTGTCTTCTTTAATACTGACGCTTTCATTTTTTCTTTGTCCAGTTCATCTTATTCTATGTTTCCTTTTATATTTGTTTTATACTTTGTGTTTACCTTGCATTTTTACCCTATTAACTTTTTGGTTGTACCTTTGATAATTTCTTTATTTGGTATTATTTCTATAGCCTTTGGCGTAAAAATATAAATTAATAAATTTATAGAACGTTTCGCTTCTTTAAGAGCATGGTCATTCCATAGTATAACAATTTTATTTACTTTATACTTCCTTCATGTGAAGACGCAATTATTGTAACTAATTAAGTCACGACATTACTAAACTTTAACATTTTGCAATGTCTGCTGTTCACTTGCATTTGTTGAGCTTTGAGAATGAACTATATATCTTAGCGCTATTGGTGCGAGAACATTTGTTCTATTATAGAATGTGCAATTAATGTCGGATAAAAGTTATTATAAGACGATAAACCAAGTCCTTCGGGAAATGTCATTACATAGAATGCATTAAAGCGCCAGAGTTGATAGATGGCGCCATTAAATCCTGTTAATGGGAGGTAATCGAGCAGAACCTTAACATGTAATTTGGAATTTTTCATCCTACATTTTGTATCTTTTACACAATGTATGATGAGCGAGTTGGATTCAGTAGTAATAGCTTTATAATAAAATTTTAAATTAGGAGTTAAATATTCGGCAACTTACTGAACGAAAAATACACCATCGACGCTTATGAGACAAATAATGAACTGTGTGTCGAATACAATGTTCAGAAAAAGCATAATATCAACAGGTTATAAAGTATTGAATTTTTAACCAGATGAATGCTAGAAACCGTTCTATCTGATAGGGGCTGTTGTTTTCATCCCAGGTCTAAGATATACTATAACGACTTTAATGTCAACTTGTTGAATTTGGTATTCTATGGACATTTATTTGGCCTTTTTATCATTTTTGATTAGAGCGTTATTTATGAGTCTTTTTAGATGAAACGCGCGTCTGGCGTATAAAATTTTAATCCTGATATCTATAATGAGTTTTTACCCTATATTTCCTGTTATTGATATTTACAGGGAGATTTTTTTCTGGATTTTTCGAAGGAAGCTTTACAAAAGCCTATGCTGTTCCGTTCCAATTTTAAAAGCAAAATCAGGTCAATCGACTGTTATCATTCATTTATACTTAGTATAACATCGTAAAAGTCTTTTCAGGAGTATAACGAAGGTTGTCCCTATTGGAACAGGAACTAAATAAAGGCAACAGTAGTATACCGCTGTTCGAAACTCATAAATCGATAGAGATAAAAACAAATCCAGGTTACAAACTAAAACTGAGGGAAACGCATCAAATATAAGAGGAGAACAACGACACAACAAAAACACAACATTAAAAATGTAACACACACAGAAACGAACTATAATATAGCAATGACTTGGTACAGGACATTTTAAGAAATAAATGGTGGGTTGAACCTGGTTTTGTGGCATGCCAAACCTCCCGCTTTAATGGTAACGTCAAACACAACACCAAAACGACAACATCACATGACAGGACCACAATACAAATAAATGGGAGAACATATAGGACAAAGAAACACACGAATAATAGCTAACAAAAGGTACTAGGCTTAAAATTCAATACGCCAGACGTGCGTCTCGTCCACACAAGACCATCCAGTGACGCTCAGATGAAAAAAGCTTGAAAGCCAAAACAAGTACAAAGCCGAAGAGCACCGAGGACCAAAACTTCCAAAAAGTTGCGCCTAACACGGCCAGGGTTTTCTGCCTGGGACAAGAACATCCTTATTATTTAGAATAATTTATAATTTTGCAAACAGTAAATTTTATAAAATGACTATATAATAGATATACATGATAAAACGAAGTGGGGACTAACTACAGAAGAAAAACGGATACATTACATAAAACAACTTAATCCAACATATAAAAATACACAGCCGAGTTAGCCAAAGCATCAACGCACAAAGTGACGTCACATTTGAAATTCTAAGACCTTTATGGAGTACTTGAGGTGTTTTTATTGCTCAATTTTTGGTTTTTTGTAAAGTGTCATGCAATATTTGTTTACATTTCCGTCTTTTTCTTTTGCCAATGGTTCTGTCTGTTTTAAGGCTTTATGGTGTTTGAGTGTTCCACTGTTTTCTCTTCTTTTTTCAATTGAATGATAATTTTAACATACTTTTCATGGTAACATCTCTTAAAGCGAGATGATAAACTAAGATGAATTCTGCCTTTAAAATGGTAATGTTGTATTTTGAAAATTGACCATGAAAGCTATTATGAATAAAAGAACGTTTTCACACAGGTGCAATTGTGTGTTACTGGCTGTGTGTGTATTTACGGACAATGCCTATATGATTCATTGTAAAATTACGTAAAATCGTTGGATTTGTCTCTTGGACATGAATAACTACTAATCTTTGTGTAAAAGTTTATTTTTGTCTCGCACAGGTACAGCAGTATTATGATTAAATAACTGATTTCTATGAATTGTGTCATCAGTTTAGCTCTCAAGGTGCATTTCAATGTTACATGTATGTACCATTGTGTCATTTGAGGACATTGATACACATAATTATTTCATATTCTGTTGTATTGTAGATCATATAAGATCACAAATATAAAGTGCAAGTACAAATAAGATGCTAATAGTAAGAATCTCAAACAGAAACGTTTTACGTATTTTATTCACTTTAAGTGCATCATTGTATGTACATTTTAATGTTTGCGTGTCCGTGTTCAACACGGTTTTCATACTTACATTTTGATTTTATTTAAAAAGAATACAATTTGATTCAATAAATATTGCACCATTAAATATACAACATCTTTAATGAATTTTAATGTGTCCGTATAGAAATTCGAATTCTCTTTATAGTATCCAAAAGGCAAGTGGTAGACGATGGTACAAAGTAACGAATAAGTAATAAATAATATGAATTCTAAAATTGTGTGAAAAAGTAAGTGTTTTTTTCACCAAAATTATCAAAAATATTCATGGTAACATCTCTTTAAGCGTGATGATAAACTTAGATGAATTCTGCCTTTAAAACGGTAATGTTGTAAGTTAAAATTTGACCAAAGTTCTATTCAAATTCATCAAAGATATGTTTCTTGCAGTTTAATTGTAATTACTTAAGAAATATTAAGTAGAGCATGAGTTCCGTCGAATGAAAATTATTTATGAACAAAAGATTTACAATTTTGAATGTTTGAAGGACTAATGTAGTGATCGATTATTTTGGAATTTCTATACGGACTATGTAAGCAATGATCATTTTCTGCACAATGGAATGCTTCATTTTACATATATCGTAACAGTTCTCAGTAAAAATATCACACGTTTTTTTCTTCAAATTAGTTAGAAAAATAGTCACTATATTTATAACATGAATGTAACATATTTGAAAAAAAGCCTTTAAAAAACACTTAAAGTTTGGTATTGAGTAAAAAAAAAGGGGAGTTGAATCTCAGTTAAGGCTTTTTATCACTTATAATCTATCAATTATATTTGTGTTTAGCTATCTTAATCGTCGTTTTCGTTTAAAAAACAACTTGTTGAAAGCATTTCGGAAAGAAGGATTAAATACTGTATAAATAATTGGATTCAATAAGCTATTAAAATATCCAAGCCATAGAAATATACTAAACACTTCTGGTGGAATATTACATAATTCACCACAAAAGGGAGCAGTGAAAGCAATAATGAAAAATGGAAGCCAGCAGGCGATAAACGCACCAGTAATTATTCCAAGAACCCGTGCTGCCTTACGTTCTCGTTTCATTTCAAGTTTTGCTTTTCTCATTTTCTCTTTAGTTTCTTTAAATTTGATTTCTTTACTGCAGTTATTATTTTCTGCTGATGTTTTCGGATTTAGTGGTTTGTTAAACGAATACACATTTGTCGGCACTGTTAAGTATTTGAGTTGAGAGTCGGATATGTTTCCAGTCCCGTTTAGCTGATAATCGGTAGGAACAGTTTCAGTGTTCTCAAATTCAGGTCCATTTATACATGACCCGTTATATACAGTGAAGCCATCTTGGCTGACGTCACTTCCAGATGAGTTATGATGAGTAGTGACATCAGCATTTGTAATAGTCTGACATGGAATTGGTCTGGCATTACTACTACTACTACTAAAATGTTTTTTACGAATCCTCGATCTTGCAGCTGTGTATATTTTATAATTTAAAACTAACATAAGAACCATAGGACAGTAAAAAGCGCCAACAGTGGAAAGTACAGTATATGCGTAATCTTGACTAATTAAGCAATTTCCAACAGTTTCGGGGTTGTTCTCTTCTTTTTTCCACCCAAATAGAGGTGTGATAGAAATTAAGACTGATACAATCCAAACTATAACAATCATTATTAGTATCTGTTTTGCACAACGCCTTCGAATATAATCAATGTTTGATACAGCCCAGTACCGATCCAACGAAATTGCAACAAGATGCAATATCGAAGCAGTGCAACAAAGAACGTCAAAAGATACCCACATATCACATAGTTCTGAGCCGAGATACCAGTACACACTCACTTGGTTGACGACACTTATCGGCATGACTAAAACGGCTACCATTAAATCGGTAACTGCTAAAGACAGAATTAAATAGTTTGACACGCCTTGCAGACTTCGTTCTAAAATAATAGCAGCAATTACAAAAACGTTTCCAAGTATCGTCGACAGTATCATACATCCAAGAATTATGACAATAATCACCATATAACTTGTTTCGTATCGTGGAACATAAGAAAATGTTTGAGACGACGTGTTTTCCGTCGAGTTCCATATTTGAGTTGAATTTTCGAGTAAAAAACTAAAGTTTGGTTCAGTTACGTTAAGAACTGTATTGTAAACTCCTATAGACACATTGTTTGTCATCGTGCTCTTACAATGATTAGTACCTCATCTTATCAAACATTTGTTGATATAGATTTTTGAACAATTGTTTCTATTTGTCTAAAAACATCTGCTCTGTTCACAGCTAACTTTATTCACTTAACGCTATCTTCATGTTTGTTGAACCTGTTAAGTAAAAGAAATAATTAGAACATCTCTAACAACAAAATTAACAAATAATAAGAACCATCAATTCTGTGGACATTTGTATATCATCGAATGGTGAAAATATTTATACCTCAGTCTAGAAACATTTGACTTACAAGACGCTTAAATGTGGACAGCGATGATAACGACAAACGAGGTTCGATTGGAGGTCGAGTCTCAAAGTAAACATACAAACGTCAAGCAATCAAACCAATGTTTATTGTAGCAAGTTGATTTTTTCAATTATAATACAGCTTTTAAGAAGAGTAATAAAACTGGTGCCGTTCCTATACGGATATTTCTCAGCATTGTTGTCTTAGCCGCCCTATGTCCCAAATTTGATTTACTAACAGTTCATATAGAGTTGAAAAAAAGATCTTTTTGAAAATAAAGTAATTCTAGTATTTGTAAACCAACAAGGCATAATAAAGATCTTTATATACCCATAAATGCCAGGCTAGTATGAAATAGTATCATCAACACACGCATGTTGCTTGGGGTAGTAGGTAGCCTTAAATATTTGTCTAAACTCCATAATGAACAAATATGTAAAATTTCTACTTCCTTGATTTCTGATAAGTCTTTAAGTTTGAATAACACTTATGTGAATTATCCTACTCGAAATCATAACCATTTAAACAGGTAAGATTTTTTAATTGATAATAAAGTGTTTGTGCAGCATGACTGAACGTGTAATACCACCAAATCATAGTACGTCACATCCGGTTTCATACGAAAAAGGGTCGAAAAAATAATTTGACAGTAAAAAAATTCTGAGTCAGAAACATATATCTGGGGTGTTTCTTAGCACCATTCTTTTTTTATTTGGTGTTTCTATAAAATAATTTGGAAACTTGAGGTGACACGGTTACTAAAGCTTGTAAACAGGAACAAAAGGGGTGAAAATTTGATTGGTTTACTTCCAGTTATGGTTATTATCTTATATGCAATGAAATGTTATGCGAAATTTTCACTCTAGTACTGGACAAGATAAAACTTTACTCTGCACATTTTTTTGAAAAAATACCAATTAAACAAAGACTAATAGGAGAAAACAATGATGGTATTACTCCTGAAAAGGTATAATAAACATTATATTCAAGACGACGATATTTGTTATTAAAACATGCATCATATTAAAGCGAAGTAGAGATTTTTGACAAAGTTTAGATATCTTTACTTTCATTTAAGGTTTCATAACTCCTTGTTTGTACTTCAAAGTCATGACAACAGTAAATTGTATGTCCTAGTTTCCCAATAATTAAATCAAGTGAACATCGAAGGATTATAACTTCAACTTCATATAAATAAGTAAGTTGTGGATATTTATCAAAAAAGTTATATTTAACAAAAAACTAAGAAGAGTTTATTTTCCAAACAAAATAATATAAAAATAGAAATGTGTACGGATGAGTAGCATTTTGATTTCATGGATGTTGGTAAAATAAAAAAAAATGAATTGCATCAAAGTTGGCAAGAAAAGGCAAAACGCGGGAAAAGTAGCACTGCGAAAAATCGGTTTACACTATTAGATATAGACTGTCAAGGGTGTTAACTTACGTTTTTTTTATTTAATTCATACCGAAGAATCCATTTGAACGTGACTTACGCCAAACAGAATAAATCTAAACTAATTTTCATTAAAGTTGTTTCAGCTGTATTATTTAATTTATTGAGAACAATTATTCTACAAATCATACAATAATGACCATGTATATGTCTGATTGTTCATCTACAGGCAGCAGGGAATTAATTATACATTGAATAGATAGGATTGAAAGTAAGTATTCTTTGGGGTATTACTTATTTCTATACTGCTCAAACCACGGATAATATGTTTTGATAAAAGTAGTAAATAAGCATTCTTACGGAATTAATTAATCGCAACAGGTAAACCAGTTTTGGTTTATAATAATAATCATTTGTTAAAAGTCAAGATTAATCTTAACCAGATTCAAACCTTCATCTTAAATCCAAAATGGGTTATAAAAAGTGCATACAGTACGGCAAACATGAATTCAATTTTCAACGTCTATTTATATCAACACTTGTTCATGATGTTGTTATTTCAAGCATCTTATACAGTTTATTAATTTTCCCCTAGAGATTAAGTCTATTTGCCATTTATCAATTTAATTCTGTTATTATCCATTTTGTCACAAGTTGTTTCCCTTTGACAATTGTAGATTGATTCTAAACCATACAAATTTGGCTGCTGGTAATGCAAATCATGAAAGTTTACAGTGGTATATGGCGTTTTAACCAATTGTCATTGAAAAATTCATTAATTGACATCAACATTGTTTAGCTTAACAATGATGCAATTTTATTATAAGATTTGAAAAACTTACAGATTACACACATAACATAGAGATTACTGATATGCTATTCCGCCATAACGTAGGGATTACTGATATCTATTCCGCCATAACGTAGAGATTACTGATATGCTATTCCGTCATAACGTAGAGATTACTGATATGCTTTTCCGCCATAACGTTGAGATTACTGATATGCTATTCCGCCATAACGTAGTGATTACTGATATGCTATTCCGCCATAACGTAGAGATTACTGATATGCTATTCCGCCATAACGTAGAGATTACTGATATGCTATTCCGCCATAACGTAGAGATTACTGATATGCTATTCCGCCATAACGTAGAGATTACTGATATGCTATTCCGCCATAACGTAGAGATTACTGATATGCTATTCCGCCATAACGTAGAGATTATTGATATGCTATTCCGTCATAACGTAGAGATTACTGATTATGCTATTCCGCCATAACGTAGAGATTACTGATATGCTATTCCGTCATAACGTAGAGATTACTGATATGCTTTTCCGCCATAACGTAGAGATAACTGATATGCTATTCCGCCATAACGTAGAGATTACGGATATGCTATTCCGCCATAACGTAGAGACTACTGATATGCTATTCCGTCAAAACGTAGTGATTACTGATATGCTATTCCGCCATAACGTAGAGATTACTGATATGCTATTCCGCCATAACGTAGAGATTACTGATTATGCTATTCCGCTTGGTTTTTATTAAAAAGAACGTTAATGTGTGTCCCTCCTAAGGGAAACAACGGGTTCAAATGTGTGTCCCTCCTAAGGGAAACAACGGGTTCAAATGTGTGTCCCTCCTAAGGGAAACAACGGGTTCAAATGTGTGTCCCTCCTAAGGGAAACAACGGGTTCAAATGTGTGTCCCTCTTAAGGGAAACAACGGGTTCAAATGTGTGTCCCTCTTAAGTGAAACAACGGGTTCAAATGTGTGTCCCTCCTAAGGGAAACAACGGGTTCAAATGTGTGTCCCTCCTAAGGGAAACAACGGGTTCAAATGTGTGTCCCTCTTAAGTGAAACAACGGGTTCAAATGTGTGTCCCTCTTAAGTGAAACAACGGGTTCAAATGTGTGTCCCTCCTAAGGGAAACAACGGGTTCAAATGTGTGTCCCTCCTAAGGGAAACAACGGGTTCATATGTGTGTCCCTCCTAAGGGAAACAACGGGTTCAAATGTGTGTCCCTCCTAAGGGAAACAACGGGTTCAAATGTGTGTCCCTCTTAAGTGATACAACGGGTTCAAATGTGTGTCCCTCTTAAGTGATACAACGGGTTCAAATGTGTGTCCCTCCTAAGGGCAACAACGGGTTCAAATGTGTGTCCCTCCTAAGGGAAACAACGGGTTCAGATGTGTGTCCCTCCTAAGGGAAACAACGGGTTCAAATGTGTGTCCCTCCTAAGGGAAACAACGGGTTCAGATGTGTGTCCCTCTTAAGGGAAACAACGGGTTCAGATGTGTGTCCCTCCTAAGGGAAACAACGGGTTCAGATGTGTGTCCCTCCTAAGGGAAACAACGGGTTCAGATGTGTGTCCCTCCTAAGGGAAACAACGGGTTCAAATGTGTGTCCCTCCTAAGGGAAACAACGGGTTCAAATGTGTGTCCCTCTTAAGGGAAACAACGGGTTCAAATGTGTGTCCCTCCTAAGGGAAACAACGGGTTCAAATGGATCTTTGATTACAGGCTACTGTTTGTTCTTCTATTTGAAGGAACTTGGAAAAAAAGATATTAAATCTCATATCAGTTATTATTTAATGTTTGTCTGTTTCTTATATAATTTATGCATTAATATTCAGTTTGTACAAAAACCATTTTAAAATTGTCATTTAAACTCAAATCTCCCTTGAGAAGGATAAAAGATACGCCCATTTTCCTTCTGAATTTGCCTTCACCACATATATCTTCGTATTTGCATCAAGCTTTAGAAATATCATCGGAACCACCGTTATTTTAATAAATATTAAAAATGCACAATACAGTCTATACATAAAATAATTTTCTGTATGTCAAATACATTTCTAAATATACACATATAAATACACCAAAAGTTAAATCAGTTAATCAATTACAACCATTTGGTTTAAAAAAAACTAGAATCTGCATATCTCCAAAAAGAACAAAACAAAACAAATCAAACTGCGTATGCTGCGTATATCTTAATCATAGAAATAAACTTACTTTTTCCGAATTTAAAAAAAAAAACATTTTGAATTTTAGTGGTAAAGCTCTTATGTTTCATCTCAAAATTACGATATCCAAACAAACTCCTATTTGTTCTATGCAAACAAAGTATAATTCAAGATTTTATACATATCTGATCTTAATCCTGACGTGAAGTAGAAATCAAGTATACACTTTATGTCGTCTAAGATCAGAGACGCCTTATATGGCAGTTTCCGTCAATGTCTCACGAAAGTTAGCTTGACTGTCTTCCAAAAATATGTATTTATTGATTCATTATAAATGTGACAGTATTCAGTATTGTGTTTTAGAGGTGTGTAAAACATAAAATGGTCCTTTTTCTCAAAACAAAGAGTGGAGTATCAATAATACAATATCTGTAAAATATTCTGTTTTAACAAAAGTCTTATTTATTAATAATTGCGATAATTAGAAAAA